ACACACAATAATAATTTTACCGAAATGCATTTGAAAAGAAACCCTTATTTGAAGACAAAAATGATGCATTCATTTTGTATTGCGCACGCACAATATCACCACTTCACACTGCTAAGGCACTTTCGAAGGAAAAAGGAAATCACTCCTGTAGCACATGGGAAAAAAAATTCACTACTTTCGAACACTGAGGGAAGAATTTTGCCGTAGCACGTTGCAAAAAAATTACTGATGTAGCACATTTAGCGAAAATCACTATTGTATCACATTTGTCACAAAAGTTGAATGATCGAAGAATTATTGCACGACTGGCGAAGTCAGCGGAACGGAACAGATCACATTGATGATTTGCTGAAGCTCCTTGCGATGATATGCACGACTTTGAAAAAAAACACAAGCAATATATATCAATACTTCTAGAAATAATTGAAGGGGTACGTTGTAGCATACGTTTAATGTCCATATTCGTTGTTATTTTAAGTCAATTCTTTAGAATGCCTTGGATGCACGTGGCTTAGGGTCGTTGAAAATCCATTGTCAGTAGCGTGCTCACTCAAAAGGTCACCACTTTTGGTGGTCGTGTCTTATGTATGATATAATTAAAGAAAATAAGAGTAGACAATCTCCTATAACAAAAAAATATATTAAATACTAAATTATATTGCAGAGATCAACACAGAGCTCGGAACACAGTTCATGCTACCTTCGCGTACCGTTGTGTGTCGAGAAGTCTGAGTGAGTAAAGATGTCGCTTTGCTGCTCCGATTAAGAACTGGATTTTACACGTGGCGCCATCTCATGAATAGAAGTTGAAGTATCTATCGGAACGCCACATATTGTCTAAATATATATTATATAATTCAATTTTTAACAACCTGTTCGCCAACTTTAAATATTCGGTTCTGCTGAATTCCTCCAATGCCTGTTGTACTTTGCCCAGGCCTGGAATTCTTCATACCATCGAAAGCGGTGATGCCGATGTTCATATATCAGCTATTGGGAAAACAGACCATCTGCGTGGAGTCATCTAACCAAAATCAACCGCGATGTGTGATTCTCACTGCTGCCTTCCACTACCACATCACAAGGACAACAAGGCTCGTCCACATAGGGCTCAGCTGGTCGACTATTACATGGAAAGAGATGATATTCGCCGCATAAATCGGCCATCCAGATCTCCTGATCTTAACCATAATAAGCATGTCTTGGATGCTCTACTGAGGGCAATTTCATCTCTCCATCCTCCCGCGAGAACCATCGCTGAAAACTGCCTTGTTGCAGAAGTGGCATCGACTGCTACAGGGACTCATCAGCTTCCTCCTGTCCAGTATGGTTTATGCTGCGCGACCTGTCTAGCTGCGAGAGGGGGACCATACACCATATTACTGATTTCCAGTTCAGTATCATAATGTGTATTTTGGACATCCTTGCACACTAATGTACTGATAATCATGCGTACATAAAATGATTTTTGAATGGTAATCTCTTTCTTGGTTATAAATGTACTTTCATGCAAATTTCATCAAAATCCGGTTTCAGAAATTCGATAGAATGAGCAATTCTCTTAATTTTTCACAAGAATGTATTCAGACATTCTCAAAAACAAAGTAAAATTACTGATTTTTACAGAAATAAACATGAACAACATACATGAAAACTGATATTGTAGATTATTCATGACCTACTTCCACGGTATCAGCCCAGATAATCGAGAGTACATTGCATATAACACATTATAGTATATAATGTATGTGTTACTGGCTAAGTTTGAAATGCAGCATTCTATAGAATGCCTAAAACTATCCGGCTATGTATGAAACAATTCATATTTCACACATTTTGTAGGCATTCTATAAAAAGCTAAATGAAAAACTATCAAAGTATGAAATACATCTCCGATTCGTTTCGAATATCACGTATTTCAATTCATTCATTTCACACATTCCGTTTCTGACACTTTTTGTGTGGGTTTAAAAAAAAACAAGTGATGCAATTGCATGCAAAAAAAGAAAAAAATGTCAAAAAATTCATACCTTCTGAGGCCATGCTAGTAAAGATGATGAAATGGATACTTTGGGCGCTCTTTATTTCAAAACTGAAAATGCTATTGAAGGTAAAAAATAAATTCGGAACTATAAACCAAAAAAATGAAAATGAATTGGGAAAAACAATTTCCCACTTCTTTGCGAACTACCGTGCGAGTTCCTATTCCTTACGTCAACAAGGTGCGAGGTATTTCGCACAATATATTGGCATATTTTACATTCCCCCCCCCAGAGAATGGCAGCATTTCATACTTTGTCAGCAACATATATCAAGGACCTTTTTAAATACTTTGCCTAAACAGCACTTGTCATTCTATAGAATTGCCTAGGTATATATACAATGCCTAGGGAAAGTATGTAATAATTCTCATATTTTACACTTTGCCGATAAACATATATTTTGAGGTTAGTTATCCTCTACTGTGTATAACTTACCAATTGCACTTCGCTATTATAGCGACATATGGCAAACATATGCTTATCTGTTATATGAATATCCTATTGTATATTGCGTTCGCTACAATCGCATGTACAGGGGCACTCTATTGATACAGGTTAAGTTTTAAAAATTAATGTCATGTTCTCTTGCTCAGAACTTTAAAAGAACCAAATCCCTTACAGCACATTTGGAATCATAGCGAGGTCTTGCTGCTTAGTAACTTAATTCTGTGTATGCCGTTTGTGATCGTGGAATTTAAAATTTTTTCCCAAGTGCCCTGATTATAAATTGATGTATTTTGCATGTTTTAAAATTAATATAAAGGATTTTCATCAAAATTTTAGAGTTTCAAACCACTGAGTCTGATGATGGAAAATAATCTGAAATAAAATTGCACTTTGCTTTAACAAAAAAAAACTTGCATCCAACAACCAGTTACGGAAAAAGAAGTGTTTCACTCTGAATCAATATGAAGGCAGCAGGATTAGAAAACTAAGTTTTATTAATGAAATAATGCACCATTAAATATTAACATTCCATACCGTCAACTTCGAAATATGAAAAACTGGTACAGTCAAAAGTCGTTAATTCGGACACACATAATCCGGAATGATCTATAATCTGGACCTCAAAGCCACAAACTTTCTGCGCATGCGCGTAAGACCTTTACGGCTGTGAATATGCGTGTGCGCATAACACGTTTACGCATATGCCTTTAATGTATAACGGACGGTATAAGCTAAGCTAAAATTATCTAATTCAGTTAATATTTCAGATTGCGTTGTTCTTTAATCTTCGAATTGGATCCGGTTTATTATTTTTTGCAGACTGTTAGAGCAATTTTATAAAAGAAAGCTTGAACTTTCGATTATGTTAAATAGAATTTCCAATATATATTTACTAATATGTAAAGGATCTACAAAGCGAAAGTAGGTTACGAAGTCCATTAAACAAAAAGTGGAATTGCTGCAAAAAATGGATAAAAGCATATCCTTTGTTTTTCTAACCATTGCAAAATCTGTTTAGCAATTTCACGCTGCTCTGCGGCTGGGGGGGGGAACGGCCTTGGAAGTTGATCTGTCAGCACTATCCTTATTTTCAGGGCAGATGTTTTTATTTTATTTGGCTTATAATTCCTTACTAAATGTAGTATTTCATCTCGATGTACTCCGTCTTTGATATGATTTAAATCAAATTCCTCGTCATTATAATTCGCTTCCGATATTGAAGAAAGTGACACAGAGGTTATTGAAAACGAAAAAATTTCGATTGACAAATTAGTCGGTATTCTCGACACAGTAATTATAGGACTTGAACAGCGGAACTTTGTAACTGAAGAAGAAATTATGTCTGTTTATAGAATTAAAAGAAAAGTATTATCACATAAAACGAAAGCAACTTAAACAACTTACATTGAAAGAATGTTTAATAAAGTAAACAAATAAATATTAAGCCTTTTTTTTTTGTAAATTTTGATACCCATTAGATCATAATTGTTCATTTCATAAATTACGGTTTCATATTTTTAATTTTATAATTTCTGCATGCCATCTTACCAGATTTAAATTGATGATCTATAATCCGGAATCGCCGAAGTTCCGAAGAGTCCGGATTAACGACTTTTGACTGTAGTTTCTAAAAGGATATCGCACAGCGCCGACACCATTTTAAAAAATACTCCAAATTGACCTGAATTCCTTTTATGATTCTGGTTATTGAATGCAAATGGTTATAATGCAAGCGATGTAAAATATATTTATATTTAACTAGAGTCTAAATTTTATGTTTTTTGGTTAATTTCATGATATTTTTCTATTTTCATACCACATATAGTAGAAAAATTTTATTTATAGTAGTGCACCATATTTTGATGTGAAACAAAATTAAAAATAATTATCAACAGGTTAAGAATTGGTTGAATTTTCATACAAAGTTCTACGAATATTTATAGTAGACTCGGGCAATTCAGATAAAATAAAATTTAATATGAAAAAATTATGCTGAAAATCCCCAGTGATGGCAGAATGTAATTTTCACACTTAAAAGTTTCATTTATTCACTAATTTTCACTTATTCATTGTTGGGAAACATTTCTCTTAGTAAAGGCTAAAAATTAAAAACTGCAGTTTGGTGATTTACTAGAGACAGGATGAAAAACTGGAAAAATTGGTAACTATGACATTCTGCAGAATGCCTGCGGTCTAGTGTAGGTCAGAATGATCTTCAAAACAATACCTTCGGCAACCTAACCCCAGAGCACTTGATACCATACCGAGCCTGCTATTAATAATGCAACCACTACTAGTACATAGCTAGCCTCAACCAATTCATTTTAATCAAATTGCAGTGAATATTTTTGCAGCATGTTAGACACAATGGAAAAATGATTAACATAAAAAAATAATCTGGAAATCGTACTCTAGAAATTCATTGACACGATGCATCAAAGCAGTTAAATAAAGGAAATTACTGTAAAATATAATATTGATTGAATTATTTTTTAAGAATAAGACATTACATAAATCTCTTTCTTTCTTTAATAGTAAGTTTAATAACACACTCAAAAAAATTCTACTTTTTAACTTCGAAAATTAGGATGTTAAATACTCATTCTCAGCTGTATTTTGGTATATGACTTAATTATGATAAATTTGATAATTTTAAACTTATTTTTTGTTAATGGGATTTACAGCCTTTACTGCTATATAACAGATCATATTTTTATATCACTACAGAATAATCATGAAAACAACTTTCAAAAGCATAAGCTGAATACGAAAGCAAAATCAAACATGACAAATGCCTAGCATACTATAAATGTAAACAATTAATATCTGGAACTTGTTTAATTAAAAAAGTAACATCTTTAGTAAAAGAATTTTAAATGAAAATCAATTTTTTAATAACAAGCTAGATAAATTTCAACTACATTTACCTACACTGTGTTACCTTACTTGTGTTTATATATGTATATAGATAATATCAAGATTTTATTCAGATATACAAAGCTTTTTTCACAAATTAGTTTTTACAATTATTACATGCAATAAAGCAAAGAAGTAAATTATATACCTAGTTATAAAATCAGTCATTTTTTAAATATTGACTATCATATGCAATCTACACACACACACACAAAAAAAAGGGGGGGATTGCTATTCATACACCATATCACAACAATTTTGCAAGATTCACTTGAAAAGTAGACAGCCAAATTTCACTTAGAAGGGAACTCAATATAAAAATAACCAACAGTTATATGCTACAGCATAATGTTCACTAATACACTTCTAATAAGAAGTTATAATTTAAATAATAAAAAGGAAGATATTTCAACTCAGAATATCAAAATATTCACCTTTAAGGTCTAGTAAATATGACTAATATAAGGACATTACTGTTTTGATTCTTTTTTTCTCTGCACCTCAGCTTTGCTAAACATTCAATAAATGATCAGTTTATTAATTGTCACATTAAATATGTACTGATTGTATCAAATACATATGACAGCACGAGGCCTTTTTTGAAAATTATGATTCATCACCTTCTTTGCATTCCAGCTACATATTTCATAGATTAAATCTCTATTTTTATATCTAACCTTTGATATTACCTAATAAGTAAGTGTTTACTGAAAACAAAACAGTATCCTTCAGCTTTCATCTGTTAATTTCCAATTTTAGTTTTTCATTATGACAATCATTTTGGGGATCACAAATGGAAAGGCACAATTAACAGCACTGCATAGCCCAGTGCCAATATTTTGGTTTTTATATTATTTAGCTTTCGAAACTAAGATGCTACTTTTTTTTTATTACTGCGTACTTTTAGATGAGTAAAATCTAAATTTGTCTTCATAAATATTAAACATTCTGGGTTGAAAGACCTTTGATATATGTCAAAATATTTGAAAACATTGCAACTTAATGCTCACCTTGATTTAAAACGAAAATCCAGTTACCAAGTTCTAAATATGCATAATATGTTGTAGAGATTTCACAAATGACTATTAATAATCTCCAGAGAGAAGAACTGAAATATGTATATTACACTACCATGTATTCTGATAAAATAACATTCAATCATATAAAGAAAGCAATCTTACAACTTCAAGAAAATTTGATTAACTACATATAATACAAATATTAATTTATGCAAATAATACAGAAATAACAAACATAATCGAAAAGAATTTAAATGGCAAAAATATACATATCTATTAATTTAGCCTCCAAACAAAATCAACACAGGCACAATTTTAAATACATGTATAAAAACACTGCCTTAACTTCATAATTAAAATTAAACGCTTCTTTGTCCACTTACCTTAATTTTTTTTAAACGAATAAATTCCAAGGAATGATTAAAAATACATAAAGGGTTAACCCCATTTTTTTTAGCTGTAACTAATGCCATTTTCAAGTAAATTTAAATACTCCCATGAAAGAAGTATGTTTAAATAAGCATTTACTGAAAACACTGTCATGATATTAAAGAAATATTCCTGCAAACAAAATATATTAGCTTGTTATATATATTTACAATATTTTGCTGTAAGCCATATGCACCAAAAAATAAAATTTTCCTAGCTGTTGCATTATAGAAATATATAAGAATATCCTTACATATTTAAGATATACCTATATAAAGAAAATTCTCTTCGGTTATTTCGGGCAGCTGCTTTCCATACACAGTATTTACACTGGGTGGTTAGAATCACCCATATAATAAATAAGCATACTGGATGATTCCTTTTAGAAAAACGTAATAAATCCTTTCCCCATTCCTCAAATGGACATTGATCCTGCAAGTTGGATAAATACAATCAGCAATAGTAGCTAAGTTATACTGTTCTGATACAATAGTTTTGTGATATGAATCTCCTGTTAGAGAAATCTTACACCTCAGCATCAGGAACAAAAAAGGAATATACAGACAATACTACCTAGTCTGACAACAATCAGGCACACTGGTCATTCCACCCCTTTGATGACTGAATTCATGAGCTAGGCAATTTCATATGATCTTAAGTGTGGACAGTAGCTCTGGGCATTTTGTGAAATCTGTCTTATGATATGTGTTACTGCAAAGCTATTGATACTAATCATCATGAAATTACATTATTAGGAGTAACATAATAGAATTTTTAATGCATATACTTCAGAAATATACATGATTCAAAAACAGAACACGTATGTTGAGGCAGTTTCCCACTATGAATCTTCCAGTATGTTTATTGGATGGGTTATGTTAACCACTCGGTATAAAAAAAATAACAAAAATTAGGTACTTTAATAATGAAACACATGTACCTCAATACAAAATTGGGCCTCAATATATGAAAAATATATATATATATATAACAGGAACAAAATATGACCCATGAACACACATACACACACACACACACATCACACATATACACAGAGATGCACAAGTCACACATATTTTTACACACATTTGCTGTCACAAAAGATCCCCCATAAATTGCATAACACACACAGTTATAACTATACAATAGACAACTTTAAATAATCATATATAAACTGAACTTCTATAATAGAAAGTAACACAATATGGAATAAGTTTTACATTTGTTTAGAAATACAGTAAGTATTAATACATTATACATTTTTAATCTTATGAAAACTTCAATAAAAATGTTTGAGTCAGTGATTAAAATTCAATTTTCTCATCATTATTATTTTTAATTTGATGAATTAAGACATTAGAAATGATTGTTGAGGAAAAACTGATACACTGGTAATTATTTTTCTTTTTCTACTGTTCACAGGAAACACAATTTTAACACACAGCTCGTCATTATTTTACACTAAAATATAAATAATTACCCAAAATTCTGTCATATGTGCTTTTAAATATTTATATTACATTAAAATAAAAGCACACAAGAGCAGCGCAATTCATATACATAAAGTGTATCACCTTTTTGCATAAAAGCCATGACAAGTTAATTATTCAAGTTGCTTACAAAACAAATCATAAAGTGATAATTAACATCCATACTGGAATAATACCACATATTTTGAAGCAAGGTGAAATGTAATTATTAAAAAAGTAGTTTCAAACAAAGTGTTTATATTAAAACATACAACAACATAGAATGAAGACTTTATAGAATTTTAAAATTTTATGAAATATAACAAGATATTTCACGAAAAGCAACTTTTATAAAATCTGTAGTCTGATAGCAACATCAAACACATGTAAATTAGTAATTCATGATTTATTAATGAAAGTGTCTAGATTATAAGAGGCACATTTTCATATTTTGCATTTTATATAAAGATATGATTGAAAATGAAAATGAAAATTTTAAATGCACATACAAAGCAAAATCAAAAGTTAAGAAAATGTTTCCTAAATAGACGAAAATAATTTGGTATAGTTAACTAATATAAATGACTAAATTATGAAAAAGCTTATATATTCAAAATAAGCCCACAAGCAAGGGAAAAATTTTTGTTTTCAAACAGGCCAATGACTAAAAATCTACTTGCATTAACAGCAGAAAATTATACATAGAAATCATTTCAGGTATGCTATTTAAATATCAAAAAGAGATCAAAATATTTTACTGAGTATTAATCAAGCAAAGCATACTTTAAACACTAGGACAATAGTTATAAAAATGGCTTACACAATTTAACAGAAATCTTGTTATACATAATCCCAAATAAGTAGTGTTGAATTGAAAATATGTTTTTGTTATATTTACAATAGCTACACTGTATACTTTAAACATGCTCATCTTCAATCAGGGGGCTGACAAACCATTAATCACTATAAAATTGGGCAAAGCAACAACCTTGAGTTTGGTGTAGATTTTGTCAAGACCATATCAATTTCAAGGACAAACAGGTACAGGCCTCTCTTCAACAGAAGCAAAGAAAAGTGCAACGAAGGGAATGCAACCAAAAGGAGTAAAGTAAATGAGAAGATAGCGCCATCTGTAGGCAGAAATAGTTAAGAAAAATGAAATATTATGTTTATAGAATTTCAAAAGTATTACAAAAGACTGGATTAGAATTAGTCATTAATTAAAGAAAATAAACCTTTGTGAATGTGAAAAGCTTCAACAAAATTCAATTCACCAATGGAAGATGCTTTTTGGATAATTTTACAGACTCTAATTTCTTACTATGATTACCTACTGACGACTTGTTAATTTACCTTTCCGGACATAAGTTTCTTGTTCCCTCATGTGAAACTTTAGCACTCTTTCAGCTTCGCTGATCTATCTCAAACCATACTGACAAGATATGCTATAAATTCCCTATGAATTAAAATAAGAAATGGAATCTACGAATTAAACCACGGATTTTACTCATATGCAAGAAAATGACTTTAAAAATGAACTTCTGAAGAATCTGTGCAATTTTGTAACAGAAGGATGAAATTGAAGCGTGAAAATGTTACTAATTTGATTTTTAACAGCAGCATGTCTTCTTTGAAGGCAAGATGAAAATTTTTTAGTCTTCTTTATCAATGTCCATGAAAGAAAATCCTCAGTCAATAGTTACTGATCTCAAATAATTGAATTCATTAGCAAGCAGAGATTCTGAGAAACAAACTTTGTGCATACAAAATACATAATAGTCAAAAGGAACCATCTTTTGCTTAGCTTGGTGGCATAGCAGTGGGAGGATTACCATAACAGTAGTTCTGAAATCAGATTCTTCATGGATTATAAGAATATCAAGGAAATGAAGGGTGCTGCCAGCTTCAGTTTCAAAAGTCAACTGGATGGCTGGATCAATTTAATTTATAATAACTTTCTTTGCTCCCAATGAAAAGGGCCCTCAAAATCGACAGATTCTTTCTAAATCTAAACCAAAGATAAGGTTGTTGCTTTGTCTTATTTTATGCTTTTACTTAACATGTTTCTCTTCTGTCTTCATGACCCACTAATTTATGTACTCCTGCATGTTTAGACTAACTACTACAGTTTTAAAAAGCAGGGAGAAAATAGACCTGTAAATAACTGAAATATTAAGCCCCAATCACTGTTGACAGACTGACATTTAAATGTTAAATATGAAAATATTTACCATTGTATCCTTCTGATATATAAAATGCATAAAAGAAGAAGAAAATTTATGAGAACTTTACGTTACCCCTTTCAATAAAAATCAAGTGTACTCAAACTTCATGTGCACTACAAATAAGCATCTCTGCTATTCATAATACCTTATCATTGCATCTAGGATGCGCTTTCAAAAACAATCCAAAATATCAGTTATGAGTCAAGATATGGAACAGTAACAGAGTACCTAACTTGTGCAATATGTTTAATTATCTCATTCTCAATGACAGCATTAATAAATACCCCGAGGACAGGGAACAGAAACTTTCAATCTTTCTTATGCCCCATCATAATCTTTATTCGTCAAAAACATACTCTGAATTCTGTCAGTAAAGGATATACTCTCTATTTCACATTGTGGCACATGAAATCTAAAAATAAGTTGCATTTGGCCATGTATTAAACAAGTTCGCCAATCCCTGTCTTAAATCATATCACAGGTTACACATGAACAAGACAAATACCGTTGGTACCATTTTTAATACTAAAACAAAAATAACAGAACTACTCTCATATCAATTAATATTGCCGATAAAACTTTCTCCTGTCCTACAAATGTATGTATTTGACAAATACATTTTTTAGAATTTAACATGTTACAACAGATATTCGAATGTAATCTCAGTAGATTTAACATAATTTTCTAAAATCTTTTCATTTTTGTCATTTTTGCCTACATTAAAAATATTTTGGCAACATTCAAAATACTGTATTTCACAACATCAAAGAAATGCTTCCTTAATACAACTTATTAAATTCAAATACATTTATAATGTAAAAAATTCAATACAAGAAAACAGCTATTTTCATTTCAAACTTCACTAGAACAATATTACTTAGCTATAACAGATCAATCAATATAAATTACATTACTTTATGTAATGTAGATGTTAAATAATGCTTTCAGCTTCAATTTCAGAATTAAACACCTATGAGAAATTAAACAGAAATAAGATGGTAGAAAATACCTGACTTACAATCAAAAATATATCCATTACATACTAAAACACAACTTAAATCATATAGTAAAACATTTCCCTTTTTTTGAAAGAAGAAACTGAAATTTTGAATATAAAAGAACTGATCCACTTCCTTTTAAACTATTCTACCATTCAATTTTGTATTCCTAAAGGTGACAGCTGCAGTGTTTTTGAATAATAAGTTATATAAGTATATACAAAATACTAGATGTTTAATACATCTCATGTTAACCATGAAAACTTATAATCAGTAGTATAATTGACATTAGAAGTTAAAATTGCTAAATTTTATCCAATTTATTTATATTTTTTCAATATTTAAGCTGCTTAGTAATCAAACTGATTAAATATGACTATCCAATATCTACATAAATTTATACGTTAGTAGCATAATTAAAAAAACGTCACTGTATATTCTTAACAAATATAAAAACAATAGTTTCAAAATGTACAACATAAACAGGTACTTAATGCACAATTAATGCCATCAAAAAGTACTGGAACTTGGACAGAAAAAAATTTGTCCACACAAAAACACAGTTAATGATTGCACACATTTAAACAACATCTTTGGCTTTATCTTCCAACATTTCCTGAATTTCATTTTCCCAGTCAGGATCCTCTTCAGCTCCTTCAGCAACAACCTCATACTCTTGCAATTCTTGCTGCATTTCCTTTTCCCAGTCATCATCTGAGCATTCATTAAAAAAGAAATATTATGAAACTTTTTCTGGATATTGATTGCTGTAATGTGAATCTGAACATAGCACTAAACACACATACATAACTACAGAGTAGATAATCAGCACCAGCTTCTGTTACTCAAATATTTGCTTACATTAAAAAAGATAATTATATATTTATGGAAATTTAGGAATGCTTTAGACTAGTAATAAATTCTGAACTCACTAATGAATTTGAGAAATGAAGAATGTAGTATTGAGTTATAAGAATGACTTTATAAATACGATCATAAACAAAAAGTATTTTTTTATTCTTGAACTCAGTAAGTATAGCTCTAGCATAAAAATATACTATAAAATGATATAATAAATCTAAATTACACTTAAATTTGAGCACAGGACTAATTAATTTATTAGTTCAAAACATTAGTTGTATTCTAGATATTACAAGAGATATGATCAACTTTTAGCAGTTCTCATAGATTAGACCTTAAAGAACTAACTCCTGCTTTTCCTACACCAACAAATTATGGATTTAAACTTCCTCAAAAGAGGACATCAAGAAATGGGAAAGACAAGAGAAATTAACCAATGTTTTCACAAGTAGAGTTCCACCACACTTCCCGTACTGCTTCATTCCAGTGTTATGGAGTTTCATACCAATTTCCAATGATCTCCAGGGAATGAATCATATGATTTCCTATCTGTCTTTCCTTGCACTTGAGACGGCTTTCAGTTCTCCAGTATTTTAATGCCTCCACGGTGCATAGAAAATACAGACTTACAAACATTTAAGCCTTCTCTAAAGTTCAAGCCTGGGCCAAATGATAATGGCAAACAGCATCACTAATCACGATACCAGAGTAGAAATAAATTCCACAGCAGTAGCATCTCAAAACTATTTCTTTTCTTGAATTTGCAGATTTTCAACTCTAGTGTTTTGCATTCGATTATTCAGGGTCATGACATCTACTCTCTCTCCATTCTCTCACTTTTGGGTAAGTGTAACAAAGGTTACTAATCATTTAGTAATCACATTTTCAATACTATCACAGATCATAAACTCAATAAAGTTAAAAACCTTACAAACTCTTATAGCACCGATTCCCCCCAAAAAGTTCTTATCCACAGATCTCGACTTGTGATATACAAGGTGTGATACACACACACACACACACACAAAAGAGACTACGTGTCTAGCTTGAAAAAAGAGTAGAGTTGGCAACAGCTGTTTTGTTGATATCATCCCAGACACCTCCTTGATCCATGCGACTAGTTTTGACTTAACTGATCACACCAGTTGTGAGTACTGCATCGAGTGAGCATGTGCAACTGCATTCTTCCGGAAAATGTTTAATGTAAAAATTGAACAGTGAATCAACATCAAGTTTCGTGTGAAATTTAAGAAATCAGCCACAAAAACATTTCAAATGTTAACTGATGCTCATGGAGATGAAACTTTGTCTTGTGCATGTGTGTTTGAATGGCATAAGAGGTTTCCAGGGGGAAAAGACAAAGCACTCATATCAAAATAAAAAAATTCAAGGCAACGTTAATTGTCTTCTTCGACATTAATGGAATTGTAATGATTGAAAGGCTTCCCAGTGGTTGGACTGCTAATCAACACTACTATACTCAAGTACTATAAAAAGACTTCGGGGAAAAAAGGTCACAGTTGTGGCGTGATGGAAGGCTGTTGTATCAGAATAATGCACCCACTCACACGGCCCACATCTGTCAAGCAGTTTCTGACAAGAAAAACATTACTGTGATGGGATATCCTCCTTGTTCACCTGATTTGTCTCCATGCAACTCTTTATTTCCTCTTAAGTTAAATCTTGCTTAAAGGGAAGCCATTTTACCTCAGTTGAAGAGGTACAGGCAAAAATGCAGAATCTCTTAAAGGGCCTTCCAAAAAACCGCCTTCCAGAACTGTTACCAGCTACTGCAGGACCGAATGCAGAAGTGTGTGAATGCTAAAGGGGACTATTTTGAAGGTGATAATGTCACGGAGAACTGATTCTGTAAGTACAATTTATTTTACCAGTCTCTCTCTCTCTCTTTTTTTTTTTTTTGTGTGTGTGTGTGTGTCTTACCTTGTATTTCAGAATCAATGGTTCAAACATAAACAATGGAAGTAAAAATTAAAAGCTCTATTTATTCATGCTAGAACCTCATAAAAGTCTATGCCCACTAATGACTGACTGGATAAGAGTGCTAAATACTGGTAATTAAAATAAGTTTGAACTTCAGCAAACAGGGTTGCTGCGTGGATGTATTTGTGATTCTCTACATTTGCAACATAACTATTTTCCTCACATAATCCTTCATGGTCTTCTTTGCCTTGGGCAGATAATTCTCATAAGCTCAGCTAAAATTCAATGCATGTAATACTGAACGATAAACCAAAAATACTAACTTTCTCTTATGCAAATATATATATATATATATTTTCATTTGCACACATTTTTAAATGAAACTGCAGATTTTCATATTCCATGATTTCATAGTTATAGCAAATTCTGTTTCGAGACAAAGGATGATGTACATAATTAGTTCTGTCAAAGTATGCAATGAAAGTTTTATGGTTCATTAGCTCATATTTTTATCACATAACTCTGGAATAAAATTACCTATCTTAATACCATTTTCATGACCATTCTAAAATGAAAGCAAAAAATATGTGATACATATACACTTCCTCTCTTGCAAAATCATCCATGAAACATTATTATGATGGATGATTATCAGCTAAGAAAGTATTTTTAAGAGCATGCTATAAATAAGAGGTATAAAACTATCCTAATTTTTTTCAGAAAGGCTCTCTAATTTTTAGAAGCTGTATGACATTACTTGCATGCTACTGGAATAAAAGGCACATATTTCATCAAGTGAAAAAAAAAAAGTTTTATTAGCTTAACCCTCTAAGCAACCCGGGTTTTTGGATCTGTCATGAAGACCTGTATCTAAAGATCTTTTGTAAGTTAAATTTGTATATTTACCTATTTTAGTCTCTATTTTCATAAACTTACATTCATTAAGATGACATTTATATTATTAATGTAAGAAAGCAAAATATCTTAAATTACAAGCTAGTTTACACCACGTAACAAAAAAATCTCATGACCGGATAAAACTGGCCATGGCACTTAGAGGGTTAAATAGTGGCAGCTTCTTACTTGCAGGCTTATGAATAAATAAAACCCTAGCTCTGGATCAGTTATAAATATAATATACTATTAATAACCTTTAATATACAAATAATATTTAAGCAAAGTTTTCAAAGTTACATTAGGTAATGATTTAATTTTAAAGAAATCAGTTATTACAAAACAATTCTTTTGAAATATTTTAGAAATTTGCTTATTAAAAGTATTATTAAAAAGTCTACACAACTTCTATAACTACATTACATTGGAAAATTACACAAAAAAGTTAACAATGTGTAGACAGGATGAATTGTAAATTCATTCTAAATTAACACTTCACTATCAATCAGCCAGTGAGTCTAGAGTAAAAAAGAACAAACCAGTGGCAACTTTTCCATCAGTCAGATATAATGTTTGATACAGAATGAAGTATGAAAAATTATATAAAACAATGTTGCAATTACTATTAGCTTACTAGGGGTTCTTGAATTTTCTTTACATAATTTACAGCAGTACCTCTGCAACTTTAGATGCTTTGATTTTTAAGAATTTTGTTTAAAAGTCATGCGCATATTAAATAAAAAATTAAATATTTGTTCATGTTAGGTATATTTTTCTTGACTAGATTCCCGCAATTTGCTTGAGACACACTATATTCATTTACAAACAATTAACACAAGTACTAATTCAATAATTAAAAAAGCTAATGAAAAAAATACCAATAACAAGTACACCCTAAAAACGTTTATAAATTATATATAACAATTGCACAATTTTGCCATTAAACAAATATTCCATTTACCTTTCGATTTCTTTTCAGTAACTCCCAGCAGTTTCATTCCTTGCTTAATATCCTCTTCAGACACACAACTGGACTGAAAAGCATCACTTACAAATTCATGATTTGGGCTGTCAGTGTGATCAGAATCTGCCATATTTTCTACAGGAGTTTCCACTACACCTGTAATAATAATAAACAGAAATAAATTATTCAATAAACTGTAAAAATTAATTTCAAACTACATTTAAAATCTGACTATATAAAGCTTATTTCATGATACAGCATTCGTTACTATGTTAAAATTTAATATTTTATCTGAGCCCCTCGGCACATCATAATTAACTTATCTGTATTTATCATTTTAACACTCACATAAGGTTATAAAAATTAGATTTAGAATGTTGTATTACATTAGATTTAGATACATGTATTTATCAGCCTATGCACATTATTATACTAAAAGCAAAATTTAAAAAAAAAAAGTCTACATGTCAGTATTTGCACATTACAATGACAGCTGTATGCTAGTCTAATAAAATATGAACTACAATTATGTATTTTGCATTTAACTTACATTTATGCTAACCTGGTACGGTGAATAAAGTTAGAGTAAAAATGTAGATTAGTTTATGTTACTTAATTTCATCAGAGCACATAGAAGCAATCTACCTTACAGAGCTACATTTACTAGAGATCTATGTAAGTTTACTTTACATAAATATTACAGCTCAAAAAACCCCTGCAATCTCTTCCCTTTACTGCATACAGAATCGGAGACCACAAAACAATTGTCAGATTTTTCTACTGTCATTTGTATGTCATGAATATATGTATATCTTTAGAGGAGGTAATTTTTAAGAAGCAACTAATAAATATTTTTAATGGAGATTTCTAACTTTAGAATAATTTACTAAAGGTGGTTATAATTTACTCCATATCAGGAAACAGGCATTTTATTATTATTAAAAATATCAGCAAAATATTACAAACCTATAGTACCACTTTCACACAACATTTTTAGTCTTCTTATCTTCACTTCTGTATTCTGTAAAAAATCAAAGCACCATGAAGGAAGTTTTTGATGAAATTGAATATGTGTATAGCTCATACACAGATAATAAAATGACTAAAATATAAAGGTCATAGGTTGATGTCCTCGGGGCTCACAATCACCCACTAAGTGTTCAAATTAGTAATTGGTCGAACTGCCCCTGGTGGCAATGCATGCTTGAATTCGTCGAGGCAAGGAATGGTAGATGTTCCTAATGTCATCCTACGACACATTGTGCCAGGCATTCATCAGTTGTCACTCCAGATCTGCGATATTTTGTGGTGCCTGAATCTGGTGGCCTACTATGTCCCAGACATGCTAGATTGGTGAAAGGTCTGGTGACCTTGCTGGACAAGGAAGAGTATCAACCACATGGAGACAGACCAGAGTTATGCGAGCAATATGTGGCCTGGCATTATCTTGTCGGAAAATAGCCCCAGGATGATGTTCCATGAAGGTTAATGCAACCGGCCGCAGTATGGTATCAACATATCGTTGAGCTGTTAAAGTCGTATGGAGATTGACTAAAGATGACGTGCTGTCATAGAAATAGTGCCCCACACCATCACACCAGGGATTATGGCTGTATGCCTTCGTAAAACAAAGGCTGATTGGGACTGCTGGCCCTGTCTCCTCCAGACATGAACACAGTGGTCATCTGCTTCAAGAGTTAAGCGGAATTCATCGCTGAACACTATATGATGCCAGTCTGATGGCAGCCATGACGATTGGCTGTGATACCACTTCAGACGACTCTGCCGATGTTGTAGGATCAAAAGCAAACATCTTAAAGGCCTCAGTGTAACTCTGCCTCAGACAAGCACCATGAGATGGTGGATGGTAACCGGGTAACCACAGGAGGTATAGCGTGGCTGTAGTGCGTTGAATAATCGACAATGATACCATTGAGGCGGTTCGGGCCTGGTGAACAATCATCCTATCTTGCCTCACATTTGTGCTCCTTGGCCTTTCAGAGTCTTCAATTCGTTGGCAGTTTCCTTGCAGCAACCATTGCTGCCAACATCTTTGCACAGCAGTGTTTGTAAGCTGCAGGTGGCGGCCTACTGCTGACCACCCAGCTTCATGCAACCCTGCAATGCGACCAAATTCGAAGTCGTTTAGTTGTCTGCGGGGTCTTTGATATCATCGTAATGGCATCTTTAGTTGCTTCTTTACGGAATTACAATGGCAGCAACACAAAAAGATAAATTTTCCACCTCTGTTACTGGCTTTGTGAATTGCATACTAGAAATGTGCACTATGATAGCAATTCCAGTTCATTTGCCTTGAAACTTTGATCATTTGCATGTTCGATCAAGATGCTTTCGCATACCAAATTTCATCAAGATCGCAAAAGTCCTTCTTGGTGCTTCGTTTTTTTTCTCTCTCCTTTTTTTTTTTTTTTTTCAAAAGAGTGTATGTGATATGGAATTGCAACAAATATGAAATAAATACCATTTTACATCTTATTTCAGTCAAACAGAATAGATCATGCAAGAGTATACAAATGTATTTCAATACCTTTAACACTTTCCTCTGACGAATCTCGATCTGTATTTCCAGACAAAGTTTCACCACTGCTGCCTGCAATACAGTCATACAGCAATGAAATATGCAACATTAAATACAAGAGCCACTATTTACATCCATGAATAAATAATGTAAGAAAGAATTGTTCAGCTTTTTAAATGTCTAAAGAAATGAAATGAAGATATAGTTATAAAAATTTTTGAAATCATTGTTTTAAATGAATACTAGACTGTTTGAAAACACCGATACTGGTTTAATGCCATAGCTATATTCGAACAGAAAATTAGATTATCAGAGCTTGGTGTTTATGGAAATTATTTATAAAAAATATAAAAAGTTTTAAAATTACTTAAAGTAACATATTCTAACATCATTTTGTCATTACTTTGATTACCTTACTTTAAAAATGTTTATACCATGTTTCCTCGAAACTAAGACCCAGTCTTATATTAACTTTTGCAGCAAAAGACATGCTAGTGCTTATTTTCAGAGGATGTCTTATTTTTCATACACAATATTTAACATTTGGTCATATTCAAAAAACATATTTTTTCAGGTTCAAGAAATGCATTTATTCATGTTCAAGAAACATTAAAAAATAAAGAAAGAACAAAATCATTTATTCTAATACAGCCATATTGTCATCCTCGGGAACATCATCAAAAAGCTTCAAATCATGAATTCCACCTGAATTTTTTGCAACTTCATTTCCTCCAAGATCATTAGCCCTAGCCTCTCATGTTGAGCAACAGAACTCTCCTCAAATGAGCTCTTCTTCTCCATGTAGACTGCTTATAAGACACTGGCAACACAGCTGTCCATTATTTTATCCCACAGATTCTTCACCCAAGTAGCGACTTCCTGTAGCTCAGGCTTCACAAATTTTCCTTGTTGATTTCTCTCCATTCTATTTTCAATGTAGTCATTGATTTCTGTGCACAAAATGCTCTTTAAATGCCTTGTTTATTGCAATATCAAGACTTTGGAAATATACACTCCTTCCTGAGTTAATAATTATTTGATCAACTGTTATTTCTGCAAGGATATTCTTCATGGTTTTATTGCAATAAGTATTGGCAGAATCTGATTCAGTATACCTTTTTGCCCACTTTGCTAAATGGTAGCAATAAATTGACCACTTCCTTATACTTGCTTGCATGCACTACTCTTTTTCAGGCTCTTGATCCATAAACACCGCAGTTTCATCCATAGCAATCATGTTCAAGAGCTGGTCTTGGAACACCTGATGCCATCAACAAAACATTTGAATGCAAGTGCAAGTATTTAATCACTTCAGTATTTTCCAATTTGAACAGTGTTGTCAGCCTTCTTAGGGACAGTTCATATCACTGAAGGAAGCTATAAATCCAGTGCTTTGAATTCATGTGGCAATGCTTAGCTGTGATGCCACTGCAAGGGCAAAAATGTTTGAATATCCTCCCTCCCTGCAAACAACCAAATACTTTGCTTTTCTGTCAGAAATATGATGTATTCACATATAATGCATTCCGATTCTAAAAATTATGGTTGCCACCCTGATCCACAATTACACTTCTTGGCATTTCCCTCATTGACCAGGTGACTGAACTTGGTGTACTCTGATCATCATTTTTGGAGCATTTGTAGATCCAATTACTTCTCTCTGGACACACACACACACACACACACACACACACACACACAAACAAAAAAAAAAAAAAAAAAAAAAAAAAAAAAAATTATCCTTGGAGTCTTTCACAATGGAATAGTTCTATCTTTTTACACTTATTTTATCTGATCATCAAAATTCATTATTAAATCAGGTGCTAAACACCCATTGCTAACAAAATGTATTAAATACTTTGGATTCTAATTTGTTGCAACCATGTCCATTTGTTTCAAAAGCGCATGTGTGTTGCATTTGCACTTGGTCATTTGGCAATAAGGTGCATGTCTGGCTGACGATCTTAAACTAGAACTTATTTTAGAGTAGTGAATATATTAGAAGTAACTTGAAAAATCATGGAAGGGCTTATCTTTTGATTAGGTCTTATTTTCAGGGAAATATGGTAATAAAACGACCTCAAGCTATGCAATAAAAAACTATCTTTCCCACCAGTCAAGCAAACCATATGCTGTTTTGTTAGTTGAATCCTCATGAAAACTTTTCATAGGGCTGTTCATATAGCACCCTGAAATTTCTTTTGGTTCATTTCTAAAGGCAGGTTTCTATGGAAGCACTTACATATAAAATCGTATACACATTTCTTAAGCTTTTATAGAACTAAATAGTTCTTTCCATACTGTATTTAAATATTTTTCAGTCTCTAATTAAACATATACAGAAGCATAAAATGGGCACTTAGGCCTACAAGAACATTTAAGCAGTCACATTTGCAGGACTTTTTTTTTGGGGGGGGGAACTATAAGATCTTAAAAGTTAGTTAAAAAAATTAGGTTAAAAGATAACCTGTACACATTAATACTTTTGACATTTTAGCATGCAATATTTATAATTTTTCTATGTTGCTTCATATTCTTAATTGTTAATTAGAAGATTGATTTGAAGTAAAATAAAGCCAACAATGACAAAACTCAGACGCAGATGTCTACTGTAGAGTCTTCATCAAGTCAAGAGTGGCACATTAAGCCACATAAAAACTCAAGGAACACTGGCAGATTTCCTGTTAGTTGAATTCTATATAAATAAATGTAAATAAATATTAATCTTATTGGAGTCAGAGAAGTGTTATTAGCATTTCCCTACATTCTAGACACTTCACTGGTTTACTCAGACATAATCCTAGTCTACTTATAAAGTGTACAAGGTAAGAAGGATGTACAATGATTCTGTAAAATGATGAACTGTCACAGACATTATATATGTTGTAAATAGTTCATGCATTATTAAATATGTGCTATGAACAGCACTGTAAGTAGCTACTTGCCCATGGTAAAGTGCAGTAATTTTTAGAGCTCAACAGTGAATTCAGTAATAGTTTCAGTAATTAGCAGTTTCGATTTTGCAAAGCTTCTGTGTTTGTATGAATTGCAGTAAGAATTCAGAATTCAATTCTTTTAAGTTCATCTGATTATGAAATTCCAAGCGTATGTGGAACAAATACTTCTGAAAATGGTAAATCAACTTTAAATTTCGTTCTATTTTAGTGTATCGAGAATACGGGAAAGCACGCTAGGGCTATCTGCCTAAGGGGAGGGATGCCTTCGTGGAGGACTTTCTAAGAGAAACTGGCTCGTATACATGTTACACATGGGGAAAACCACGAAAACGCCCATGCAGCCAGCCCGTTTGCGGGATTTGAACCTTGGACCGAACTACCAGTGTTCAGCGGTTTTACCGCTCGGCCGCTGGTGGGCCAAAAATTTTGTTCTATATTGCAATATCAAGTAACTATTGTGTCTCTGGTGAAAATTAATACAACTAGGTTGATAAATTTATTGAACATGTTGATAATGCATCAAATTTGTTAAAACTAAATTAACTGAAAAACTAGTTTTTATTAAGCAATCTTTAATTGCAAAAGCAAAATTATTCATTGAAAGCGAAATAGAAGTAAATTCATGGAATGCACTGGAAAAGAAACTGTGAATACGTTATAGTAATTACAAATCTGAGTTCTAAATGTAATACTGAAAATGCTGCTTTATTAGTATATGTTATTAATGGTATAAATGATATTGCACAAAATATATGCATTATGGTTGCAAATCTTTAGCAGAATTTCAAGTTCAAGAAAAGCTAAAGATATTAAAAACAAATAAACAAAACTGGATAATGATAACTGTAAATTCATTATGCCTAATCCTACAATGGCTGACAATTATGAAAGTAAAGAAACTGAAGCTAAAAATACATCTACAGTTGTCACCAGAGTAAGCGTCAAAGTTACTTCTTTTTGGAAACCAGACGAAAAATATGGTTACTTCAACCAGAAACACAATTTAGAAATGCAAAAATAACTGTTGACCAAACAAAGTATGATTATGTGATAAGTTGTACCGAACCTCGCATTTTATTATAAGTATAGGATATTTTGTTTACTTCCCTACAAGATGGCAAACATCAGGCAATTAAGGACAGAATAATTTCATTATACACAGACTCATCCTGGAAATCCTGGACCCCACCTAAAGAACTATATAGCAGCCTGACAAGTAGCCACTTCCAAATAATGAAGCCTGTATAGAGTTCGAGAGTGTTTCCACTGAAGTAATATAATGGTTGATGATCTGTGCAAAAGTGGTGCTAATCTTGTGATACCTCTGTGGGTTGTGACCTGAAATGTGTCCTGTTCCTTATCAAGAGGCTATCACAGTAGCAGAGGTAAATGATACAGCATTGGATTTAAGTTCACAGTGTTTCTTCAGTTAGATTCTGATCAAGGATGGAATTTTATCTCAGTTGCAATTAAAGAATTGCAAACCTGGCATAGACAAAACCCAAACGACACCTTTACATCTGCAGTCAGAGGGCATGGTAGACAGATTTATTCAAAATATCCTTAGCAACCTCTTACTGATGGTTTCCAGAAACCAACAAGACTGGGAGAAGAAGTTACCTCTGTTCATACTCGCCTATTGCAGTGATGTTCATGAGACTAGTGGCTATTCTCTATACAGATGCATTTTGGTCATGACCTGTGTCTGTCTCTTGATCTGTTACTGGGTCACCCTCCTGATGTGCCTTCATCTCCTGAGCAGCACATTCAAGATCTCCAGGAACAGTTTGAAGTCATGCATAATTTTGCTAGACAGCAAGTTAACGTAGCCATGGAAAAGAAGAAGACCCAATACGACCTGAGAGCTACAGGACATCGATTCGAAGAAGGTGGTAAGGTGTGGTTATGGAATCCAATTCAATGGAAAGGGCTTTCTTCTAAATTACACTAACCTTGGGATGGTCCTTACACAGTAATAAACAGTTTGAATGATGTTATAGTTTGAATCCATAAATGAGCAAATTCTAAGCCTAAAGCTGTTCACTACGAGAGGCTAGCCCTTTACTATGGCCATAGTATGTAGTCCTCATAGTGTATATAATGTAAACAGTACACTATGACCCTGGTCATATTTGTATATAAATTTTTAAGTTTATTCATTTATTTATTGGCTTATCATTTGGTTTGCTTGTTTTATGTGGTTTATTGCCACTATTGTTTTAATACTGCATTGATTTTCCTTAGATGTAAGTATGGCTTGCTGTCCAAGCATTGTACTACCCAAGATGTGCAGTCCTTGAAAAAGGGCAAGGGAAGGGGGCAATGTTATGAATTTTGTACATAAATAAATTACTTTAGTGAAATTATATTTGAAATTTCAGTATTTTTTCCCTTGTATAATGTAACATAAAATGCTTGAAAGAGACAAAGCTCTTTTGTGAAAATAAGATTAGAGGGGCAAGCTCTGACAGCAGTGAGGTCACTTACTAAATTGGCAAGACATTGCCAAGCAGGCAATTGTTCTGGGACTAATTTTTGTCACCAAACTTGGCGAGAAATCAACAAATGGTTGCCAAATTTGGTGACATTTTGGTCCGGTCCCTGTATAACTCTAATGGTATAATTGAGTAACTGTAATTGTATCTGGCCCTCAAACGCCTCCCAGTAATTTTGAGAAGTACTATATATCTCAACAACTGGGGGAAAACTATATATGGTGGGAGAAAGCATCAGTTTCTCAGTTGTTAATTCAGAGCTGAATTGAGAGTAATGAGATATCTGTGAGAGCTTTGACTTTTAGATGCGCTTTGTACTGCATAGTGTTTATCAGTCTTAGCAGTTTTAAGTGTAACTATTGACTGCACTCAGTGATACCGTGGGGAGTTGAATGACTATTTTTGTGGAAAGTTTCAGAACTCTGAAGTGTTTCTTTTGGTAAAATAAATATTATCAAGCCATCATCAGTTCTATATGCATTCAATCTATTACGAACTCATACACAAGTAACAATACTGATTCTCGGACACATTTTAAGAACGTCTTTAACTGAATTGTTATTTAAAATGTCAAAACTGGTAAAATAATAATAAACTGGTAATGTAAAAACTAAAAGAAGCTACAAAAAATAAATTTTTATTTCTATTTTAACAATGTAACAGTGCACACTGAAATCTATTCATGCCATCATTTAACCCAATTTTATACTTCATCTGAAAATACATCTTAGCACGTATGCATGGAAAATGCTCATTCATTCATGCATGCTTATTCAAGCATGGAAACATTATTGCAAAACAGAAAATGCACATAAAAACATGGATTAAATGCTCAAGGATTAAATTTCTGATATCATCAGATGATATAAAAATATTTGTATATTTTCTTATTAATAATTTCTACTCTTTAAAATACATCAACAGTACAAAATACCGATGAATAATAAATAGTTCAAAATATTATTCCCTAAATTGTTACAAATGTCAGAAATAAAGCCAGATCAGAAAAAATACAATTAAAGACATCTGAATGGGTGCCATTTTATAAATAACTAATTTTTGAAAATTCTAGCTATGATTTTTACCAAATGTTTATTTTGAAATTTATAGAGCATTACATTTCTCTTTTAGAAAGAGCCAAAATTCACACGAAAACAAACTAGAGTCTCATTAAAATTATTCACTTCTCATTACTGTACTTTGAGAATAGTTGGGAGTTAAAACATAATTTTTAAAATTGTTATAAAAATTACACTAATTAAGAGCCAATATTTAGCAATTTATTTCCAAGTTTGAAGAGTTAGCTTTTATTTAACAGAAAGAAACCAATTTTGGCTCACATCATGCAGTTATTTTCCTTATAAATTTTCAAATGATCTGCAATGCTTTTACATTTGAAATACACTCATGTCCATAAATTAAGGATAATGCAAAATCAGGCAAAGGAAAAGTTAGAAGCAAAACAAATTTGACTTTATTTGTAAAGTTTATTTATTAAACAAAAGGCAAAGAGCAAAAAAAGATGCTTTATGTTTGATATTATTAAAAAAATTAGCAATTTTTTCTCCCTGGAGCAAATTAAAAAAAAAAACCTATTTACAAAAAACCAATACTGCATGGTTGGTATGATTGTTAATACATTGTATGTCTCCCAGATGATGCAATACAGTCCGTACAATGCCTAGGCATGCTGAGTATCAAATTATCGATCTGATCTTGGGGGATATTACACCACTCAAAAAGCAATGCTCTCCGAAGTTCCGATAGACATGTAGGTGGAGGCTGACAGGCTGCAACTCGTCGGCCAAGTATATCCCACACGTGCTCTACTGGATTCAAGTCCGGTGAGAATGCTGGACAGTCCATACGGTGATATCCTCCAATTGAAGGCATTCGCTTACGATGTTTGCACGGTGAGGACGGGTGTTGTCATCCATAAACACAAATTGTGCACCCATGGCGCCCCGAAACAAACGTACATGTTGTTCCAGAATGATGTTCCGATAGATTTGGCTTGTCATGGTTCCAATTTGAACATGCAGGTCAGTTCTGGAAGCCAGAATAATTCCACCCCAAACGAGCACTCCTGCACCACCGTAACGGTGTAATTCAATGATGTTTTCTTGGTGGTAACGGGTACCTCCATATGAAAGTCCTTCGAGAATCAGACTGCAAACTAAACCTGGACTTGTCGGAAAACATCACACAAGCCCAGTGTTGCGGTGTCCACAATGCATGCTCTCTACTCCAGGCTAACCGCAGGCGACAGTGAGTTGCAGTAAGTGGAACACGTCTGACACGTCTACTAGCATATAGACCAATCTGCCCTAAGCGTCTGTACACAGTCTGCCTTGAAATTGTCATACCAGTGGCTGAAGAGAGCTGACAAGACAGGTCTGAGGCTGTGCTCCACCTGTTTCTTTTGGCAGTTACTGCCAAATAACGGTCGTCATTCGGCGTTGTTACTCTGGGGCGACCTGTGCTGTAATGTCTACTCACATTACCATCATCTTGGAATCATTGCCAAAGCCAGGAGATGACACTCTGGGCAATTCCAAGTTCGTCTGACACTTCCAGTTGGGTGCGCCCACATTCCAGACGGCTGATAATTCTATCACGTAAAAAATCATCCAAATGCGTCCTTTGTGTCATAACTATTCGGTTATTGCACTGAAATGCTTATAAAGCACCTGCGAACAATTTTACTTCTTTGCCTGTTTCCTATATATCACTTCTCTTACACTCTCGTCATTGTGACGTACCATCGATGTCATCTGGTTACTTCCTGAAATTTGCATATGATTCTTGAAGATGTGTGTAGTGATTTTACAGGTGATATATTTATTTTAGAGTTTGGTTTTCGCGTGACTCCGAATTATCCTTAATTTATGGACATGAGTGTATTTCAGTATTTCCCCTTCTTTCAACACCTCCATACATCTACTAATTTCCATTTCCACATAAAATATAATTACATTATAACTATCTACTAAGTTACTACTACATTATAACTATGTACTAGCACTTATAACAAAGTGTACACTTAGGAACAGTGTAGCAGAATAAAAGTAATATTCTGCTACACTGTTCCCAAGTGTACATTTAACCAAGTAATTAATATTTTGGCAATTTAAAAAAAGGAATTTCATATAATGAAAGAAATCTGAAAGTAATTTTATGAGCACAGAAAGGGTTTCAAAATTTTATCCCTTCTTAGTCTCTCAAAAATTTTTAAAAAAAATCATGATACAAAATGAAACAACAAATAAACATGGAGTTCATATCTTACTTTTAAGATGAGACATTTTACTCAATCTTGATGACTGTTTCACTAGAGATACACGATAAAAATAATTCCGCCAAAAGTTTTCTTCATTGATTCTTAAGAAAAGCAGAAAGAAACATTAATTAAAATCATAAGTCAAATTAGAAATGATTATTTACCTTACAAAATCAAAAATACATGTCACTGAGATTCAGCATTAATTTAGTATTGCTGTAGCATGGGCAGAGGCAGGTTCAAAGCAAAATGATATCTAAAGTAGAAAACCTTGGGATTAAACCATTCTCTTTATTAGTGCAATTAATTGTTTATAATTATGATATTGAAAATCACTGTGAAACTGCTTGCCACTCAATAGGCTTTTCCTTGCTAAATACAACACAGAAGGCAATTTTTCTGAGTATTAATTTCTGCCCTCCTTTCCAATTCTTAAATTTCTAAGTAATAAATCATAAAACAAATAAATAAAATTAAGCAAACACCTGTTAATTTGAAGTGAACACAACAGAATTGTGTATCACACTAGAACTAAAATATATCTAACTAGTACACTGAATTCTGAGAACATGAAAATCTGCAAGGGCAGTTACTCATGTAAACTTCAAAAATTTACATATATGCAATTGCAAATCTGCAAGCATTTCTCTCTCAGATTTTAATACCAAATATTAAAAGGCAAATCTTTCTCTTAAAATACAGGCAACATGCACAGACATGCAGGGTGGCCATAAAAAAAACTTTGCTGATATATGAACCTCTAGCAGCCTATCTGCTCAACTAATAGAAATGAAATTGTTGTTCAGAGGCCAATATTTAGAGTAAAGAAGCCATCGATTTAGGACAACACACTTTATTTACACGAATAATGAATAAAAAGATCACACAGGAAATCATATTGAGCATCACATAGCAAGTAACATATCAGCATCTCCATACGCTCGAAGCTCGAATGACGGATGTGTCGGTAGAAGAGACAGCTGCGCCATCATAATTTATACGCATGCGCATAAGAAAAAACATTCGCTCGCCTCTACCCAACACACCCCTCCTGCGAGCAACTTTTTTTCAATACAAAAATGAAATACAAACAATATATAACACATTACATTAAGAAATTAAGGAAATTACTTTCAATGTATACATTAATTTTTCTTCACTGACACTCTTAGTAAGAAAATCTGCAATCATATTATCAGTTTGTGAATATTCGAACTTAATAACATTGTCCTTTGTTAAGTCCTTCATAAAATGGAAACGTAAGTTCATGTGTCTGGATTTCATTGAAGATCTTGCACAGTTGATCCACTGGATGGCAGCTTGACTGTTTGTATTCAAGACCACTGCACCATTCAAAAATTGTTTACATTTTAATTCTGATAATAAATTTACAGTCCAAATAATATCCTTACAAATTTCAGAAATAGAAAATAATTCTGCTTCACAAGTAGACAGACTAACACTTCTCTGCTTACGACATTTCCAAGAAATCAATGAATCACCTAGTAATATAGTACCACCAGAAAATGACTTACCATTTTCTGCATTTCCCCAGCTAGCATCAGCATATGCATTTAAAACTCCAAAATCATTGCTATAGAAAAGTTTTTTATTTTTTGTACCTTTTAAATACCTTAATACCCTTTTAGCCAAAAGATAATGCCTTTTTTCTGGTACATGATTAAATTGTGACAAATAAGTTGTTACAAATGATATATCAGGACGCGTTCTATTCGCTAAATATAAAAAGTTCCCCAATTAATTCCTGATACAAAATTGCCTTCAATTTTTTCATTTGTACATGAAAAACCTTTATCTGCCCCTTTTAACGATTGGCGTTTCCACTGCTTTACAATTTTCCAGATTGTGTTTAGTCAATAAAGATTCAATATATTCTGTTTGAGACAAACATATACCATTTTCAAGTTTTTCTATTTGCATTCCTAAAAATTTTGAATTAGTTTTCATGTAACTCAAATACATTTTTTTTTTTTTAGAAACAATATTTTCAAGCATTTCTTTATTATACAGAATACAGCTAAATCATCAACATACAAAACACACTATAAAAATGTTTTTGGTATCATTATAAATGAATATACATTATTATCAGATGCTAACTGTACCAGCCCAAGTTTTTCTAATTCATTTCTTATTTTTATATACTAATTTCTACCGGATTGAGGCAACCCATAAATACTTTTCTTCAATTTACATACTTTACCTTCTCCAATCAGTTTTTCATAACCAGGTGGAGGAGTCATATACACATCTTCGTTTAAGTCACTGGACAAGTACGCTGTTTTTACATCATAAAATTTAACAGTCAAGTTTAATTTAGCTGAAAGTGCAAGCAATAATCTAAAACATTCAATGTTAACTACTGGTGAATATGATTCAGTATAATCTCTATTTTTTATTTGATTAAAACCCAGCCGCTACTAATCACGCTTTATATTTTACTTCCCCAGAGTCTCCTTCCTTCAAAGTATACACCCACTTACTTTTTACTAATTTTGTTTCTTCAGGCCTCTCTACTATTTCCCACACTTCGTGTTTTTGTAATGAATCTATTTCATTTTCCATTGCGGATTTCCAGTCATACCAATTAGCACTTTGTTTTGCTTCTGAAAAATCATTCAGAACATTTCTGATTATACTTGACGCTAGTTGTTTTGATTTGAGCCTCTCGGATCGTCTTAATGGTATTTCATTTCCATATTTATTACTTTTTTCATAGCTATCAGATGTTTGGACTTCATTCCCCCTGTCATCACTCCCGCTACAACGGCTTATGTCGGCAATTTTGAAATTCGATGAGTCATCATATTCGCTTGCTCGAGTATTTTCCGTAACAACCAATTCGAGGTGTGGTTTTTGATCTAGTACTTCGTTTCCCTTTCCTTTTAATTCTTCAATATCCCAAGTTTCTAAGGCTTTATTTTTCCCCATATAATTACTACCCTTTAAAGATTCGTTAAATTTAACTGATCGTTCTTCAATTATTTTGTTACTTGCTATATCATAAATACGATATCCTTTTCTTTCTCTAGCATATCCTAACATTATCCCTCTTTTCCCTGGTATGTCCAATTTGTTTTGCATCACTTTCGGAATGTGAAGTATGCCACACATCCAAACCTTTTAGATAGTTTAATTTGGGTTTTTACCAGTCCAAATTCGAAAGGAATTTTTTCTTTTCCTTTCCGGGGTGTTAAATTTGATACTTGAGTACTAAAATTAATTGCTTCTGCCCAGAATTTTACCGGAAGCTCACTCTCATGTTGTAATGTCCCAGCTCTTTCTAAAATAACTCTGCCCGTTCATCTTTCCCATTACTCTCACTGTTATATGGAATTGTTTTTTCATGAAAAATACCTGAATTAGCAAGATAATTATCTAATTGTTGATTTACAAATTCTAAACCATTGTCTGTTCTCAAACGTTTAATTCTTTTACCAGTTAAATTTTCATACTTAGCTTTAAATTTAGAAAATGCATCAAACACTTCACTTTTACTTTTAAGAAAATAAGTAAAATACATTTCCATAAAAATCATCCACCAAGATCATAAAAGTATTTAAGACCCACCAATTAATTCAGTTTGAACAGGGCCACATAGATCCGAATGAATTAATTCTAAAATTTCTGAACTCTGATTAATGCTCAATATTTGGGTGACTTTTTCTAGTTATTTTACTTATGTGACAAGTTTCACAACTTAAAATCACTTACATCATTAATATCAATGTATTCTTTACATTTTAACCATATATTTTGGATTTAAATGGCACAATCTACTATGCCAAAGTTCATAATTATTACCTGTACAATCACTAGCAATGCGACATTCAGAATTATAATACGGTTCTAAATTAACTTCAAGCCTATATCGTTATTCTTAAATGCTTTAAAAAGTAATTCATTACACCTACTAAAAACTAATACAGAATTATTCCTTGATTCAATTTTACATCCTTTATCCATTAAGGCAGTGAGTGACAATAAGTTATTCTTAAATCAGGAATATAACTAACATTACTAATAGTTAAATTAATAAAACTAGAATTCTTTGTATTTATAGCTTTTGCTGTAACAGTACCAATACCTTCTGAATATATTTTTGAGTGTTTACCTGCCTGGTAAATTTCCCTCACCTCTGGTGTAATATTCTGAAACCAAAAGAAGTCTTTTGCCATGTGTGCGGTTGGACCACTATCCAGGCAACCAAATTTTATCACATTCATCAATTTTTTCACGCGTAAGTTGAAGAGCAAAATCACTTTCTCTTTCATCAGAACGAGATGAAACGTTCACACTCGTAGGTTGCAACTTCTTTCTGTCCTTGTTACCTTTGGATAAACTCAACATTTTGAATTCTTGTTTCTGTAATAGCAGTCCTTCGCGATTGTGACCAGGTCGTCGACAAATGTAAACAATTTCTTGGCTTATAGTTTTTATTCCTTCTTGATATGAATGCCTCTGTGTTGTTTCCATCAGGTCGTTTCCCCGTTCGTTGAATTGTGAGTGGACTCTTCCTCATGGAGTATTTTGAGTACTTCATCAATTGTTTTTTCATGCTGAGTTTTTACAATTTCCCTAATTCGAGAACAATTTTCCACGAAGTCCACGGACTATGTAAAACACCAGTTCCCGAGGAGATACATCTAATCCTAAGCGATTGGCACTTAGTTGCTATTCCTCTCGCTCTTGCAATATAATCGTTAGACGACTCATGCAACTTCATTTCTAAATTTTTTAACTATTACCAGCATCTATTTTTCGATCTTCGTCTTGTCCCGTAAATGTTGACTTTATTTTTTCCCAAAGAATTTTTGCATTCTCTTCTGTGGAGAACTGAAGCGCCTGTTGATCCGATAGTGAAAGTTTATATATGAAACGGCGTCAGCGTTTTTCTCATTCCACAATTTTCATCTTTCTCGTCTAAATTTTCTGGTTTTACTGTTGAAATTACCGAGTCAAGTCTTTTCAGTGATAAGGCAGCTTTAATTTTCAATGACCAAATAAAATAGTTCTCTCCAGTTAATTCGGGAACGTTCCACTTCTCCATTCTTAGCTTCCACTAAGACAGTTTCGGTTTCGACTTGGTCTCTCATATCCAATTCTTCTTGACAAAACCACGGAGCTGCTACCACTTGTTGTTCAGAGGCCAATATTTAGAGTAAAGAAGCCATCGATTTAGGACAACACACTTTATTTACACGAATAATGAATAAAAAGATCACACAGGAAATCATATTGAGCATCACACAGCAAGTAACATATCAGCATCTCCATACGCTCGAAGCTCAAATGACGGATGTGTCGGTAGAAGAGACAGCTGCGCCATCATAATTTATACGCATGCGCATAAGAAAAAACGTTCGCTCGCCTCTACCCAACAGAAATTTCAAATACTGTTATTTGAGGGTATGCACTCACAATTGTGATGATTTAAAACAACAGAGCTCTCATGGTTATGGTTACAGCAAAAAATTTTTGAAAGGCAACACTCAGTTTTTTCTCCCTTGCATAAATTGTTCAGTACACTGAAAAACTATAAATGGCACTGGAACAATAGGTATATGATGAAAATTGCTTGCTTCAGACATTTACAAAGCACCAACAACAATGCAAGAGAGAGAGAAAAAAAAAAAAAACTTTCATTGGAATTACAAGTTTCAAAGAGTACAGCGTTTCAAGACACAGTCATCTACTGACCTCACTCCGCAAGATTTCTGGTTCTGGGATTATATGAAATGTAAGGTGTACACATCAAATCCACGAGAGTTGTCTGAATTGAAAGATACTATAAAACATGAAGTTATACAGATTGGTCTTGTGATGTTGCATTCATCACTATTATGAACAATTTCCCAAGTGCAATGCATTATTACCTGCAAAGGTGGGCATGTCCAAAACTTGTAATTCCAATAAGTTTTTTCCATCTCTCCTCTCTTGTGTTGTCATTGGTCCATTACAACGCTCTTCTTGTAAAAGTTTTAGGCTGGCAATTTTCCTAACATATGTATCTTTCCAATGCCATTTATAGTTTTTCAATGCACTGATCAATTTACACAGGAAGAAAGTGGATGTTGCCAATCAAAAATTTTGAAATTTGTTCACTGTAACTGTAACTACAAGAGCTCTATTGTTTTAAACCATCACAACCTCAAGTGCATAGCTTGAAATAACAATATCTGAAATTTCATTTCAATTGGTTGAGCATATAGACCACTAAGGATTCATCTGTCAGGGAAGTTTTTTGTGACAACCCTGTACTTATGAATAACATTTCCAATAATATCCAGCTTTCACCGATATACAACATTTAATTAATAAAAAAATAATTTTTACTTTATTAACATACCTAAGATACATGGGATTCATATGGTATAACTACATTTACTCATTAACAAGTATATTCATAAAATTATAATAGACTAAATTCTGCTTTTATATGGCATTAACAATTTATAAATTGATAAAGGTCTAAGAAGAAAATGCCATTTAGCAAAAATTCTCATATATACTACACTACTGACCATTACCACTGCTGCACCATGAAGGAAGTAACAAAAGCATATTACAATGGAAAGATGCTATAATCAAATTTTCAGGTAATTTTGAGGTATAGAATATCCAGAAATCAGTACTCCAATTATTTTGTTGGGTAAAAAAATCAGCTGCTATATGGCTACGCATGGAGTTATATTGACTTTAGGTGACAGTTACAGGCATTGCAGCCTATGCATCCTCAGTTCTGTGCCAGAGTTCATCTGTTATGCAGGCAGGCTGCTATGTGTTATGTCAGTTTCTCTGAAACCATTGACTAGATGGTTTCAGAAAGTGAGAAATAGGAGGAAGGAGCTCGCTGAGGCAGAAGTCAAACACTTGATATACTAAGAACAGGATATCATGGACAACATGCTGTCTCACATTGTCCTATTGACAGGTAGAGTGAGGGATGCCTTGAAGATATCACACAAAGATGGGCATTAATACAACAGAGGCTCAGCAATATAACAGTTTCTGGTCCAAATACTGAATATGGTGACTGGAAGTGAAGAGGATATGTACCCAGGGGCAACTCCCATCATTAATCCATATGCTAGGCCAGTATGAAGATGGAAAAATTTTAACTTCCAACCTTTTCTCCTCTACAAATGAGTATGGTCTATCAAGATACTACAAGCAAAAGTATCATTCATTATAAAGGACAATTTCATGCCAGTGAAGCACCTACGTGCATTATTGAACACACAATTACAGGTTCTGATTTCTGTTCTGCAGCATAAAAGAAAACAAACAATAGTTGCCCTTTTTGACAATCTATTGCAGAGCAGATATTGTCACACCATACATGCAAACATTTGGTGCTGTGCAGCATACCAGATTTCCAGACCCAGAGCACATGATTTGACTGTATGATCTCTAAAACAGATGCAGACAAGATGATTGTCATTTCAAGCACTAAATTGATCCCACATAGCACTGTTTGGAATTTCTGAACCCATTAAATGCAAATTCTTGCAACAGTAATCAGATCTCAAATAATGTAAGCAGCAGTTTCACAGTATGATAATTCACAGGCCCAGTAGAGTCCATTTTCCTGTGATCTATTTCTGAAGTGTATTGGTATGAGATCCTTATTCCTACACGATGCATAATACAACTTCTAATTAAAGACAGGAAAGAATAAATGCAGTTTTTGAATAAAAAATCAGCATTTCAATCTAGCTTTTGATACTACCGTGAGATGTCATTATGTGCCTATAAAATATAACACATATCTTGAAATGCTAATTATTGCTTATCACAGCATGTTCTACCCCTCATGCAAACTTCAGATTTGTTGACTGTTTCTTTTAAAGTACAATAATTTTGATGGCCAGCAATGTATTTTCTAAGAGTGCAAATTCAAGGCATAAAGTCATACAAATTTCAATCGAAGTGGATGAACTGACAACTGCTAAAAATGAACACGTGCAAGTTAACCACAAATATCACTTCATCAATATTGATAAAAGATGCCATCTTCTAATTAGCGAAATAGACATAAGTGCAGCACTGGCTGCAACCATCTAGATTTCTACCTCATCAAACTCACATGGTGGCAGGTGCATGAAAAGACGCAATTATTTTTGCAATGTTAAATGAAACCAGCAGTTTTATGGCTCCTGTGTGATCTGAAATTTCTCTGGTAAGATATATTTTCTAGTTTGGCATTGGTCTTTACTTTTTGTATTTATTTTGAACTTAATAAAATAGTCATTCTTTTCATTAAGCTTTATTCATTTTTAATGTTGCAACCATCGAGTTAAGACTTCTTGCTAATATTTTTAGTTGGTGGTAAGCAATGTTCCATTAACAGAAAAGTACTTTTTTGTTTGCCTACTTGTATCTAAATGAGATTTAAATAGTGTAATTATGCCTAGTTTCCACAAGGAATATAAATTATAAAGGAAATATCTATTTTGTAAACTGAAGTTTATGTTTGGTGTTAAGTGACATCCATTAATGATAAAAGTTTCTTAAATCTAATCCCCACTTCTGAAACAGAATCTAACAGAGAATTTGGTAATATGACACATTCTATTAAAGGCCTAGGAACAACATACTATTAGTACTACAGTCAAAAGTCTTTAATCCAGACGTCCATAATCCGGACCTCAAAGCCACAAACCTTCTGCTCATGCGTCAATGCATAATGCGTTAACGCATGCGCATAATACCTTTACGCATGCATATATGCATCTACACATGCGCGTTAAATGTATAACGGACGGTATAAGCTAAGCTAAAATTATCTAATTATCTATTTCAGTTAATGTTGCAGATTGCGTTGTTCCTTAATCTTCTAATTGAATCTGGCTTATTATTTTTTGCAGACTGTTAGAGCAATTTTATAAAAGCAAGCTAGAACTTTTGATTATGTCAAAAAGAATTTCCGATTCTGGAGCTACCAAAGGATCCACAAAGCAAAAGCATGTTTCGATATCCATCAAACAAAATGTGGAATTGCTGCAAAAAATGGATAAAGGCATATCCTTTGATTCTCTAACCATTCCAAAATATGTTTATCAATTTCACACTGCTCTGCGGAGGGGGGGGACGACGCAGCGCGCAATGAACTGGAAGTTGATCTGTCAGCACTATCCTTATCTTCAGGGCAGATGTTTTTATTTTATTCACCTTATAATTCCTTACTAAATGTAGTATTTCATCTCAATGTACTCCATCTTTGATATGATTTAAATCAAATTTCTCGTCATTATAAATATCACGAATACACATCAAATAGTTTTCTGGTTGCAATTTTCTAATTTCGACTATGCGTAATGTATGCTTTATGCATGCACACGTTGAAAGAAATGTTTAATAAAGTAAACAAATAAATATTAAGTTTTTTTTTTTTTTGTAAATTTTGATACCCTTTAGATCATAATTGCTCTTTATTTCATAAATAACAGTTTCATATTTTTAATTTTATAATTTCTGCATGCCATCTTACCAGATTTAAACTGATGATCTATAATCAGGAAACGAGTCCGGATTAAAGACTTTTGACTGCATTTACTAGAACAGATGGAAATCATATAAATGCAATGGAAAAATAATTGTTCATTTAGTTTACTGTTTTAGGCTGCGTAAAATTCAAATTCACTTACAACTTGGGAACAATTTCGAATCGCATTTTCTCTAAGGCAGGATCCTCTTTTAACATCCTTTTTGCCACTGGATACATATCTTCAAATTTGAAATCAAACATAACACCAGTAGGTGGATTCCTAAGGAAATTTCTTCTATCCTATGAAAGGAATAAGAAGGAGAAAAATTTATGTAATTAATTGTTATAATATTTACACATTATTATGAAGGATGCCATCCTACAGATATTTGTTACAGATAAACAGATTATTAATTATAACAGATGTCATATTATGCTTATAAGTAGTTTTAGAATCCTAATGGGTTTAAATTCAGACAAACAAAATGACTAGATGGGAGTTTTCAAAGGTCTCCCCATTCAATATTGTTACACTCTTGTTCATGGGAACAGCTTACTCTCAGAACATCATCATTGTAGAAAAAAGTACTTATGGAATTAAAGATGACACAAGCGCAATAGATAGATTACAAGATTCCACTGAGAGATACATATTAAAATTCATTTAGTGGTATTCTAACATTGGAAACAAATGCATTATTTTCTTCAATACATATATATAATAATGGATCAACATACTTTTATTAAAACATATTTTTCTTAGGTTAGGTGACAGTAACTAGTAAAAACTTAAAAGTTAAAATTTTTAAATAGATCAATCCAAATTTTAATATTTTTTTTGTCTTTTGGATTATTTATTTATTTGCTTCTTTTCCTCCGATTCCCTAGCCCAGAATTATGCGAAATCCAAATTCATTAAACTGTTTAATTAACAGATGCACCTTCTAGCTGCACCACATGTGGCACTCAGTTTGCATTTATTAGCCTCTAGGCAGAAATTAGTATATGTGCTGGAAAATTTCATTATTTCCCATTAAGTATTAAAAATTCATCTTCATATTTTCATATATGTTGGATAATTAATAGGATAAATTATGATCAAATTCATAATTTGGGAATTACTTTTTCCGGCATGGCATAAGCAACAAAATTAATTTCCGAAACAGACATAGCAAAAGCAAATTGCTACTCTAGACACAGAATTAAAGTCCGATTATTCAGAACTATCCATACTTTGAGTACTGCTAGCCTATCTTCTTACTTTAAAAATGCCATATCTAATAAGCAAAACAATGATACAGCATTACATTAGTGTTTTATTACAGGTGTAGGGAAACTTCATGCCAGTAAAAGCTGCATGTTGGAATTCGGGAGAGTTCGAGAATGGCAACTAGATGTTCCAAAAGCCACAGTTTCTATTTACATCATTTTAAAGGTAGTGAAACAGATTTCAAATGTAAAGAAACTTCTGTTTCTAAACAATCATTCAATGACAGTTAGCTTTCAGCGTATGATGAAACATCGAAGATAATGCAAAGTTTTGTGTTGTCTTTGTTTTCTCTAATTGCAGCTTGATGTGGTACAAAAGTTTTGCAGAAATTAAATAACTACAGTTCTTCCGTGATAACTTCTTGTAAATGTTTATCTATGACAGATTTGTCATGCTCAAGAAACTTTGGGTTTTACGGCAGTCTTCCCTTTAAGTGTGGCACACATGCAGCTGGTCTTTGCCTTCTTGAGACAGTATCTTCCTTTGACAACTGCTGCCAATATACATGCATGGTGGATATATATCCCTGTTAAGTTTTTCTGCAATATGATGAAGAAATTCCACCTTCTAATAGTTCTATTTCATGGTCTCATTCAAATTCAGTTAAGCTGCTGACACTCTCTTCATTTACTTAAAAGACATTCCTGGCTCAAATATCATTCACAACATCCAATCCGCAAGACATGAAATTTACACCATAATGCGATTTGCATGTTCATTTATTATTCACTTAGCATGTCTTCAGCAGACGTCATCTTTCAGCAGTGCAAATATGGCTTCCAAACTTTGTTTATTTAGCAGAACTTCTTGGTGCTGGGATTTCATTTCCATAATTTCAAACAGGGCAAAAGTTTTGAATGGGTGATAAAATTTTTAAAGAAATGTGCGTGTGTGCATATATATGTGTGTGCTGTCTGCAAATATATATATATGCTGTCTACAAAGTCATTGTGCAATTTTATATATATTAAATATAGATCAAGAAGATGCGTTAGATAATTGTTCGGATATTAATAAAGCATGCAAGTCCAAATTAAAACACTTAACTGAAAGTCATATTTCTAATAGAACTGATAATCCTATAGAGGAAACAGATGTTGTTGAATTAAAGGAAGAGGAGTCTCAGGAAGAAAAATGTGATGTTAAACATAGAAAAGGAAAACTGAAAAACGTAGAGGAAGGGAAGAATTCCATTCCTAAAGGAAGAAGAAAAAATCCACCTAAGAAAGTTCAGGAAATCAAAGAGAGTAATAGAAAAATTAATGATTCCAAAAAACCCGCTTCAGGACGAAAACGTTCTAGAAAAAGAAAGAATTCAGAATCTGAGAAACTAGTTGAATAGAATGCTGATGAAACAGAAATATCAATAGTAAGAAAGATTAAACAGCAAGAGAAACTTGAAGCTAAAGAACTGGATACTGGTATATCTGAATATCTTAAAGGAACACAAGCCAAAAGAAAATCTACTAACACCGAAATGCATGTTATTTTAAAAGATGACCAACCTATTCCTTTGAGACCCAGACGTTTACCAATTATAGGTAAAGAACAACTAAAGCAGGAAAACTATTTTACAAATGGGTTTGGATGCTCCTGAACAACAAGTCAGATCTTTGAAAAGAAAAGTTTCTGTATCAGAACAGACTATAGAAATGCTACTGAAGCAACTATCAGAAGCAAAGAATGAAGTGGAAGCTGCAAAATTTCAGATTAGTATCAAAGATAAAATGCTGTCTGAGAAAGAAAAAGAAGTTCAACATGTTAAACTGAAAATACAAGAAAAGCTACCTTTTGAAAAAGGATCGCATGAGAAAAATTATGGAGAAGAGATTATTTGTGAAACAAGCAGAATTGAAAAGAAAAATATATATCACTGATGAAAAATTTCGCCAGTTGCATGAAATTCTTAATGCTGATGATTGGGAACATTATGGAAACTTATGGGATGCTGCTGCTGTTCCAACACCGTCAACTTACAAATCAACTAAACCTAAGACAAGGTTATATAAAAGGTGTAAATCTTCCCTTGAAGAACCTTCTGTCCGCAAAACAAGATTTCCTAAAGAATTATCAGCTGTTAATTTTATATCTGGAGTAAGCAAACAGAATGCTTAATTTTCAAGCAGAAGATGTATAGAATAATACTGACTATGAAGTTTTAATCTGGAGTGATACAACTGATAACCGAACTGTGATTTTCACATATAATAATGACTTTTATTTCAGTTAATCTTATTTTTAAGATGAAATGAAGTTTTCGAAAATGTTAAAGATTGAAGATACTTTTCAATTTAGATGAAATTTCTGAAAAATAGAAGGGACTGTTGATGATGTTATTGTTGCAAAGATGAAGGACAATTAAGATGTGTTTCCTTTCAATTTTGCCCTTAGCACACAATCTTCCCCTCTCCTTTCGTATTTTTTTTTCAGGTTTCGGCTTATTCTTGATGATGGTTCTTTTACCGAAGACAACGATGATGTAAGATGACTAATGATGTATGATGTCAAGAGTAGAAGAATGTCGTCGAGGTCAGCGCATAGCAGGAAGGCCGAATGTGGGATTTTAAATCCATAGCTTAATATTTCTCCTTGCGCGCTGTTTAATTTTTAGCTATTGACTGCACGAGTGAAATTGATAGAACTCTCGCCACTTTGTTTTATTAGAGGAGATGTAAGATGATATAGATCTTGTATTAATAGATAAACGGTGTTATAGATGCTGTATTAATAGATGAACGATCTTATAGATGTATTTAATGTTTCATTAAATGTGTTTTGTTTGAATATGAATTGCGATTTCGAGACTAAAGAACCCACATATATATATATAAAGACATTCAGTTTTTAATTCAGTCTTTTTACCAAAGTTTTATAATTACACTTATGCCTTCAATTCTATGGGCACATTGTTTACAGGTAAAATTTTGATTTGAATTTTTACCTAAAGTGTCTTATTATTTTACTTATGTTTTCAATTCTTTGCATACAGTTCTCTTTATTTAAAGGTAAGAACTTCTAATTAAAAATACATTGTTTTTTCCTTGCTTTAGGGAGAGGTCAGAATTTTTGGGTGAACTATTATAATTAAAATACATTGAAATGGTTCATTAGCTAATTCAGAATACAAAAAAGCAAGGATTTTTGTGGAAAACAGACTTCAATTGATTTCAGTGTTCCTCCTTGTGATGAAGCGGCATCGAAGTTGACTGAATTCCTCTGCTCTTTTTTTTTAATTTCGTTGATTTTTTTTATTTGGGGTATTGCTTGTTTAAAGTGTTTTGGTTTTAACATTTTTTAAATTCTTTTTTGCATTTATAGGATTATTTGAAATTTATTACTTATGAATTCTAATTTTTGGTCTTCGTGAAAAATTAGTTCTAAATTTCTTTATGTCTTTACAGAAAAATTTTCAGCAGCTTAATGCACGAAAATACTATACATGATTATATTATGTTATTAAAAAAACTGTTTCGTAATTACATATATATATGTATGCACACACATTTCTTTGAAATTATATATATATGAACCCTATTATAATGAATTAACTTTTCAGAGGTACAAATTTTTTGCCTTTTTAATGTTATTTTACACTGCTATAAAAAACCTCCAAATGTATGAAAGTTGGATATAATGGGACACTTTGGACACATTTAATTGAAACTTTTTTAGAATATCTGAAAGTTTTAACAAAACACTTAAGAACCAATAAAATCATCCATATTTATGATTTTAGGATCTACATTCCATCTGCAAAGGAAATCATCTTTACGTTTATTTTCAGCCCCCACTTTTCTCTGTGTTCTGAACAAAGGCTATGGGAGTTGACAGGTGTCACATCCAACTCAAGGAGAACAAAGACACAATAAGCATATCTTAGGATACCATGATACGTCTGTCAGGTTTGAACCAAAGAACGTTTATGGATTCTTGAATTTTATTTAAATTCTCTGACTGAGCTTTCAGACAAAGCTTTATTTAAATTTGATGCTAGGATGGAATATTTTGAAGTTTTTGCTATCCAGAGAGA